ATGACACAGAGAAAATTTACAAAAAATAAACAAAATTAGTTACAAAAAACAATGAATTTATCAAAAATAAAATAAGATAGATAGATAAAAGCATTTATTATGGTTCCAGGACGGACCCTGTAAGAATATAAAAAAAAATACAAGATAGTAATGAACGTAAAGGTACAAAATAATAATGGCTGCGTTCAGCAGACTCAACAGTTGAGTGAATGCTCGCTGCTATTGATGTATTCTTCCAAATCTAAAATGCTGATTGGATGATCTAAAAGAATACGCCAATAACAGCGAGCGCTCACTCAACCGCTGAGCGCAGGCTTTAATCGTGAGTACAAAATAATTAACTATGAAAAAAAAAAAGAATGGCATAGAATGAAAAAATAAAAAGATCAAAATAAAAATAAAAATTGAGAATAGAAAATAAAATAAGACAGAGAATGGAAAGAGAGAGAGAGAGAGAGAGAGAGAGAGAGAGATATGTTCCGTTATATTTGTCCGTATTCAGAACTCCTTTTTTCGCCTTCTTTATTTCTTCCGAAGAGACTCGCAGAAATAATCATTCGAGAACACGAATGGGACATGGCGAGAAAAGGTATAGAGGGAAGAATGAGAATTTCGGCTATACCTGCAGGACCGTGGTCGCTTCCTGCGGTGGGCATATGGCGAGAAGAGAAGAGGCCAGAAGGGATTCGGGGGTGACGGGGGTTTCCCGGAAGGTTCTCACGGTCAATAGCTTTCCCGGTGGCATGCGGCTGGAAAGCGCTCGGAGGGGCTGCCTTTCCCTCCCTCGTTCCCCACCACAGCCCTTCGTCCTTTTCCATCCTCGCCCGCAGGCTATATTCGGTATTTTGTTTCCCTTTTTGTTCTCTGACATTTCGGAAGTCGAAATAATTTTTCATTTGTCCAACTTTTTCCAAACAAACACTGTAAATGGCAAACTTTCGAGACTTTGGACTCCATGAATATCCTTGGAAAAAAAATGAATAATAAAAGATGAACGTCGATAAGAGGGAAAGAAGGAGCCAAATTTAAATTCGGCGACGTTATTCCGGCAGCCAATTAACGTTCGCGATCCTCGCGAAATTACTATTGGTGGCTATCAATGGAAATCGATACTGCCGTTGGCGGTTTCGGCGGCAAGGATTGACCAACGCCGCTGTCGCCAGCTTCGGATAATAATTACGCGGGAAACGTCACGATACTGCATACATAGCAAGAGACTTATAAAGAGAGCCGTGAAGTGGACGAAAATTGGAAAACTCACGCGTGTTAAGTCGACGAATGTTCCCCCTCGACAAATTCGCAGTTTCCGGTTTTGCGGAAACAAAATTTCTTCCGCGAAATCTTTAGGCTTGTTTCTTAATTTTCCTATTGCTGCACTGGACTGCACTAAAATTTTTCCATCTCGCTTCCCAGCAAACAAGCTGACGTTACTTGTCATCATTTTGACGAAAATAATGACAAATAACATCAACTTGTCTGCTGGAAAACGTGAGAAGAAAAGTTATAGTGCAGCAATAAAAAAAACAAACCTGAAAGTCTCACGGAAGAAAATATTTCCGCAAAATGGGAAACCGCAGAGTTTTGTCAGATATATCGAACACATAAAAAAAAAAACATTTTTGTCTCTAAAATCTCTCTCCCTCTCAGCCAAATCGATTTGACATCGAGCAGTGGAAAAGAAAAAATAGAATGCATACGACAAAAAATATTTGCAATTGTAATATTTTTTTAGTCCTAAAACACAATATATGTAATAAGTTTTAACTCTAACAATCGATTATTCTTCTCATATCCGACCGTGATTAATCCATTTTTAAAACTAATTTTTTTAAATTATTACACTGATTGTGTTTCGGGAATAATATAATTACAGTCATATATATTATTAATATAATATGACTATACTGAGACAAATGATCTGGTTGGATTAAATAGTAATGGACGAATCAGAATTTTCTGATTAATATAATTATATTCTAATAAAAATAAGAATTCTAGTAGATTTTATCAGAAATATTGTATTAACCAGAATTCCGATTATCTCAACTAGAATTCTAATAAATTTAACTAGAAATTTTTCTGACTCGTCCACATTTTCAACCAGAAATTTTTTTCAGTGTATATTTTTATAGAAAAAAATAAGAGACAAATCTGAAAATTTTAGGATCTTCAATTCTAAACATTTCTAATTTGTTACTGTCAGAGGTCTGCGCATTAATTTCCGAAATTGTCCGCAGTAATCTAAGATAACACCCATAAAGCACACAATTAAAATTATCTGATTGATTCGAATTCTAATTTCTAATTCACAATCTTCACAAGGAAAGCTATATTGGAAAAATGATACTAAAAGACTAATGTTACTAATCAAAGGATCACATTTGAAATATTCCATAGATATTCACTTGGGATTCTTAACGGTTTCGCGCAACAAAAGGAACAGACAACAGAGAATAAGAATTTCAACCTTCACAGAAACTGTGTATTTCACAATACATGATTTCTTAGGTTGAAATTCTTATTTTCTGTTCTCTGTTCCTTTTATTGTGCAAAGCCCCTTATAAATTCCGTATCCAACTTGAACCGGAATATTAGGCTATTTTAACTTAGATACCAAATTAACTGGCAAAAAAAGTTTCAAATAAAAATTGTAAGATTTGAAGAGAGTCATCAGATGAACTACATAGATTTTGAGAGTCCATTTTGAGCTCAATAAAATTCAGATCAATTTTTTTTCGGATGGAGACTTGTTTTAATGCAGATTCATAGTCTATGGGGGAAAAAAGTAGCTCATCTGATAACCCCCTTTTCAAGCCCTACAACTTTTATTTCAAACATTTTTGTCAAAAAAAAAAATGCATTGCTTTCAAGATATTATGGAAATTTGGAGCATTCGCTTTAGGACAGGAAGTTCTGAAAATTTCGGGAAACTTTCGACAAAACGGACGGAAGGATGCCGCTCGTAATTTTAAGGAAGGCGATCGTTGATTCCCTTTCCCACCCGCGCATGCATCACTCTTCCTTTCCCCTTGGAATATTTGCATATTACCTCTCTCTCACGGTTACGCGCACTTACTTCTCATTGTCTGTAACTTACTGGACCTACGCGTGTATCCGTTTACCCATCTCCATTGGCCGCTCAAGGGAACTCTGTGTCACGGAGTGCATAACGCTTTCTTTCTCCGTTCCCTCCGCAGGCCCCTCTCTTTTAACCACACACACCTTCAATGCATTCTCACGCACACATTCACGCATCACGTACATATCTCATGCCGTTTTTGTTGCGTATGCATTCCCCGTACATCCGTCAAATTGGTTCGTTCGCGTTGCTTGATATCTCCCAAAATTTTGGCATTTTTAACGAGATAAACGTACGTTCGAGCGCTGAAAAGAAAAGAGAAGATACTAACTGCAAAAAAAGTGCAAGCAATGCGAACAGATCTAATCGCGTGTATTCTGTTTTTGGTGACATACTGTTGTTTTCTGGACATTCTCGCGACTAATAACTGGACCGGCTGTAATCGGAGTAATATCATGTAGTAGAGCTGTAAGAAATTGACAATCATAAATTTACTTTTCTCACATTCAAATTGTGATTGGTCGGTTGGTTTTTTACGCCTTACAAATTACTGTACACCATTATTCCCATAAAGCCTGTTCTTTTCAGTTGAACTTGTACCGTTCATCTCTTATCTTTTTCTTCTTCAAAGTGAATAGAAAAGAAGAAACATGTGAACGTGTGAGAAGTTCAGCTAAAAAGAATAGATTTATTATAGACGACTTAGCACTTTCTCTCTCCTTCCTACTTTTTTCTCTCTATCTTTCTTTCTGGATGCGTTCGCTTTTGCATTTTAACTTCTAATCATTATTTCATTCTTGATGTTTATTAAATATTAAAAAAAAAAAAGGAAAATTATGCTTACAAGCGC